GTTGTGGTCTTTCTTATATGTATTGCGTTATGACGTTTTGTGAAAAATCTGTACGTGATGGTGAAAAATGGATACCATTTTCGGATTTAGCGTACATGAATTACTGTAGAACATATAAAACTTTCAATACAATAAAACCATCGCAAGCCTGTGTTACTGCAGTTCTTATTTAATCTTCATACATATTTTTTTCAAGGGAGATTTTTTAGTGTTGACAAATTACATCTCAACTATGCAGCCACGTGTATTTAAAGTAGTAAGGCTTGTGTGTTTGAAAAAAAGATTAATAAGTTGCTCTGCAAACCTAAATATCTTCCTATGTAGTCATAAAAGAGGTCCCAATGGCTGCACGTCTGAACTAGATTTGGACTGGTGTCTTGTGTTCAATCTGTTTTCATTTTTGTATCGAAAGTTCCGCCAATTGGTGAAGCTGGAAAGCTGTGGTCAATTTTTCCAATTAATCTTTACAGGTGATCTCATAGTTAAGGTGTAAGTTCTAGCGATTATTTTTAATAATGGTGCTGTTTTGAAATTAGGCATTTGTTACACGTGTCTTGTGGTAGATTGGCTTGTTGACTGAATACCTCCGCCATGACACCTGGGAATGTCCATACAGCATTGTTTTATATCACTGGGAATTTACACGTGCAAAAACTCCACAGATAAGTCCTATTCCCAATATAGTAAATACAATCAACACCACAATGTTTTTGCCGTAACACGAGACTATCAGAGTAAAATGGTTGTATTCATGCTCATTTGTTAGGATTTCGTTGGTGTTTCGTTTTTATCAAAATACTGTGGCAAGCATTTTGGGGGAGGATGTAAAGTCTGTATACACCACTTGTTCTAAAGTACTATCATTCATTTAGAAAGCACATTGAATACGCCTCACAGATGATGCACGTTTACTTGTGGACGTAATATATTCTCTGTAAATTTGTTACAAGTGTGTTTTGTAGTAGTTTCTCATAGTTCTAATAAATAAACATTTACCATGCTACAACTACTGACTAACCTTGAATGTTCTCATGCAGAGTACACTGTACGTGGCCAAACATTGTGATTACTACACGTAATTATTATTTTTTATACTCCAGCAGTCTATAATGTCTTCCCTCAAATTGTAAGACTAAAATTCAGGGTTCGACCTCTGCGGCGGGCACAGTGCTGATAGCACATTTTAGTGTTCGGTAATATAATAAATATATCAAATTTAGGTTTACCTAAACTTTTGCAATCGATATATCCATTGAAATATACATCGAATAAACCTGAATAAATAAGACTGGCGGTATTTTATATGTGTAAACAAATACTAAAAATACGTTGTTTTATATTACTTAATAAATCGGTGCAATTTCCGAGTCTTCCCCCAAAATAAAAGAAACAGTAAAAGAGTGAAAAAAAATGCTGAATTGATGAAGATTCTTCTACTTATCAAAGTGACGACAACAAAATGAGAAATGTAGAGCACACTGGGATTAGTGATTATGGAACTGTAAATACAGAAATAAATTATCAAAAAATCCAAACGTTTGCTTTAGGATATTTCATTTCTTGCTGTACAAAAAATAGTTTATGGTTGTAAGCCCGGGAGCTTATAACGCTAAAAATCGAGTTTCCTTATAAGCGATGTGCACAGCACTGGTAGCTCATTTGTAGCTTTGTGCTTAATAACAAACAAACCAATGTATAGTGTTGCGTGAAGTCTTCGAAATAACGAATTTTATTTTATCAGGATAATTTTAAGGTTGGAAGTTTGATTTAGTTTCCTACCTCATGGCAACTTCTATAATATTTTAAGAGGGTTCGTTTTGCTTGTTTCTGAGAAAAGAACTTAGGCTTTTTATAACGCATTCTGTAAAAAAGTGGTTTCGTAAAAAGAACTTCTGTATTTTACACTCACAAACCTGGTGCTTTATCGCAAGAAAAGTCATGGGTCAAATAATTCTTAAGATTACGCACCTACATGTTACGACCACAAGATTGGCCTAGCCTGCTGCATTTTGGAAATTAACCGGGATTTTCCCAATTATTTCTTGGTTACGCTTCGACAGTAAGTTCAGAATTGTTTTAAACTCATGACACAGTACTCTTCGTTTAAAGAACGTTTCAAAAGATACAATATGGGAAGACGAATGATTTAGACTCCCAAAAGTCTTTAAGAATAACAGTGGCAGGACAATGAATAAAGGTATTTCTTTTCAGTCTAGGGGGTGTTTATAATACAAATCAAATACAAGGCAAAGGGGGTGTTTTTGCCTTGTATTTGATTTGTATTATAAAGAGAAAACGTTGTCTAACAAGTCATCTGAAATTGTAAATGAAAATAACGTATATAAAAACCTGGTTTCACATATAGACGAATACGACTTTTAGAGGATTGGCGCATTAAAAGTATTTAAAAAGACACGAGCACAGACTGTAGATGTACAGGAAAAAATGGGATAGTAAGAGCGCGGTTTACTTCGCATACGTCTTTCTTTTTGCATAATTTAATTATCTAAACTCAAATCGAATTTTTGACTATTTATGTTATCCAGCTAAGTATTCTGCTTAAATATGACGTGGCCCGGCATGGTCATGTGGTTAGGGCGCTCGACTCACAATCTGAGGGTCGCGGGTTCGAATCCCCGTCACGACAAATATGCTCGCCATTTCAGCCGTGAGTGCGTTATAATGTGACGGTCAATCCCACTATTCGTTGGTAAAAGAGTAGCCCAAGAGGTGGTGATGATTAGCTGCCTTCCCTCTAGTCTTACACTGCTAAATTAGGGACGGCTAGCGCAGATAGCCCTCGTGTAGCTTTGCGCGAAATTCAAAAACAAACAGATATGACGTACTATAAATAAATACGTATAAATACAATGAGAATAGGATAAGTTTTACGTTCCCTCGTCATTTGACCTTCATACCCACGTACTTGTCAGTTCTCACGCAGAAGTGTGGTTTAAGATGTACAAATAATTCAACAAAATTACTATAGTATGGGTGATACAAGCTCTTTCAACACCTAAATATAACATTGATTTTGTACTTTAAAACAGAATGAATGGTCGTCGAGAAGACCCAGACACTTCCATAGGTTAAACTCTACGCAGGTGCAGGAAGTCAAAATAACAGCCCTCTACTCGCACTTTGAATTCTTCTAATACCAACAAACATACCAACAAATTAGGGAAGCCCCTAGGCAATACTTGACAGTGCAAAGAATGCAGGACTGGTTTTATCGACCTGTTTTTTCTAGGCTATCTTCACTCGTTATTGCTCACACATCCCAATAAGGACGTATAACTTACTGACAGTGGAATTCTTGCAAAATATTGAACAGAGAGCGCCATCTCATGAACATTCTTCTATACTAGACTGGATTATCCAATAAGTTGTCTTGTTGCACATCTTCTGTCATATTTTGGAAACTTTTACGAAATTCCTCTATCCAAAGACAAGCCACTGCAGTTTATTTGTATAGATTTTGCCTGTATTGCCGTTATTCATACAATGTGAAGTACAGGTTAACTAATATTGGATTTCTTGCACAGATATAGAAAGTCGAGTTACTTTTGCTTTTAGGGTAAATCTGTGTTTTAATATTTTATGATACAATGAAATGCTTATTTTACGATATTTCGATTAGCAGTAATTTAATAATGGTTACCACCTGACGCTACCTTATTCAAAAGCCATCAATTATCTCTGTTTCAGGGTCTGAAGATGCAAGCGAAGTCATCAAATAAGTAATTACAGGCCTGATATCTAACCATGATCGTTCGCGACAGTCCTGGATCATCTGGCCCGAAAGAAGTGGATGACGGGTTCCGTGTGCGATATCTTGGAAGTGTTTTTTTCCCCACCAGAAGAAAGAAAGTGAACATGCGAACTTTACAAAAGCCGTTACTGGACCTTTACACTAAGTCCAGAAGAAGAGGAGAAGACCAACGCAGTGTCCATCCCCTGGCATTGACTCAGCACCTTCTGCTATCTGATTATGGACTAGTGGTGGCTGAAAATGAAGAAGACCAAGAGACAGGAAACCGTGAGGCCGTAGTTACAAAAGTAATTACTCCAATATCTGGGATCATTATTTGGGCTTCAGTTCGTTTTCACACTAAAATACTGAAAAGAAGAATGTTTGGAGCGGCCTTCGTTCCCTTAGCTTGCTCAGATGCGGTCATGGACAAAAAAAGCTATGTCCAACTAGCGAGGAAACACCGCTTTTTGGTGAGTTTAACCCATCCATCTCTTTTCGTATGTTTTCTACGAGGTGTCGGTTCTTTAAAATCTGTGGAGTGTCATGCTTTTGTCTGTGCTAGTACTGAAGATGCCATGACTATTTGCTCCTTACTAGACAATATTAAACAAACAAGTGAAATAATTGGTTCGATGGAGCTTTTTGTCGATGATAGAAGCAGCAACCGAACATCTGGAAGAGTTTTTTATAGCCACAACACTCTCATGCCTGACACGGAGACGCCATCAATTATTAGTCATTCAAATTATAACAATGAGAGAAAGATAAATCACCAATCTCAACAGCTCAGGGCCTCAAAGTGGAGGAACATTTGGACAAAAAAAACAGATCTTGAAAATTATTATGAAAATGAAATGAGTCATATTTCTTCGTCTCCAGATTCCAATAAAAGATACATTCGAAATAGTCATGGAATTACAGAAGAAAAGTCGGAAAAGGCTATTCCTGTATATCCTTTGTATAGGAAAAGACACGAGGAGGGCTACAATAGAAGCAGATCATTTGAAAGACTAACAGACAAATCCAATGGACCAGATGATGGTAATATTAAATTAGTGTCATGTAACAATCTGATTGATGGTCATTTTTCACTAGAAAATAGACATGAAAATGTTTCTGACCAAATGAACAAGAATTCAAGTCGCACAAGAAGCTGCAAAAATGACAATATAAAAGAATCTCTACAGAAACGTTCGCGTCATAACACCAGACAAGAGTTGCAAAATCGAAGTAAATCTTTGGACAGAATCTATTACAATGATGTTCATTTCACATCCGATAGTGATAGAAATATGACTAGCATTAACCGCTGTCGCTCAACTGAAAGAATTGAAAATGCACTCTCGTCATCTAGAGATTTACCTCGCGAAAATCTTATTGAAAAACAAAATCAATTGGACGGAGGGATTTGTGATACTATTTACAAGAATAAATCCTTCACACTTTCCAATACCGAACCAGAACGCTTAGAAAACCTTGGCAACAGATTTTGTTGCAATCAAAATAATGATAACAATTCTATCAACCAAAGAAAATCCACAAATAATGAACTCCGAAAAGACTTTTTGCCCCAAGAACATGACCGAAGACACATCTGGAACGTGATACAGAAGCACAATGATGTTCATAATATAAAACATCCAACAGGTAGACCAGAAAGAAATTATGATATATATACTAATACGAATCTCATTTCAGAACAAGCTGTTCATAATGTCCCAATAACAATTATAAATAAAGTCCAATCGGCTTATGAAATAAAAGATAATAGCCAGCAAAGTTCAGAAATAAACACAAGAACATCAGATGTGGAAGGTGAGAGTGATTCTCAGTATTTATCTAATATTACACAAAATAATGCTTTAAAAGGTAGTTGTAAAAGTGACATTGATTTCAGATTGGAGAAATTTTTAGGCAATGAAAATAATGACGTTTACAATCATTCCTTGAGTAATAGAAAAAAGACTAAAGGATGTCGAAAAGCTGAGGAATTGACTCATTCACCGAATCAGTATTTCGTAGATCACTGCATTTCCAATTATGAAATTGAGGAACTTTCAAGAGATTATGCACCATTAACATCACTTACTGAGATTTTAACAAATAGTGATCAGAAAGAAGAAATGGAGCTTTCGGAGACGATAGATTTTAGCAGCGAGAGTGAATATTCTGAGTTTTTTAGAGGCAGAAGAGAATATGTGAATGAAGTCTTCACAAGAGATACTACACACAAAGATTATGATGATAATAGGAGAAACCCTAGTAGAAAATGCAGAAAAGATGAAAAATATATTAATAAACTTCAGACTCATGCTGATGTTCATGAATCGGGAAAATTTTTATCTGTAAGACACAATGAAATGAGAAAATGTCGTCTGGATAAGAACAGCCACGGCAATACAAAAATTACAATAAAAGTACCTTACCAGAAAAACCTTCAGACGGAACAAGCTGACCTTATGCAAAACGAAACTTCATACTTACCATCTAGTGTTCGTACTTACAACACAGGTAACAATACTAAAAATTGGGCCACTCTAAGTCAATTGTCGGATTCTACGTGTCAAGGCTCAATGACCTATAATGGAGTAGCGACGTTACCGATGACTAAAATGTCTAACCATTATCAAAAAGCAAATCGATTTTCATCAGATGACCATCTCCAGAGAAGACCCAGTTTTCTTACTAGTCTAAAAAAATTCAGTCTAAAATCCTTTAATCGTGCCAAGAAGAAACTAATGAACTTTAGGTCAAAACTGAGGGAACATCTCAGAGGTAGAAAGGGATCGGATTGTTCTGAGGACTCAGCTTATGACACATCAGAGGTGTGTTTCAGTCCTCAAGGAAACCAAATCATTAAAACTCGGAGAAAAAAGAAGAGGCAACTGTCCTGGAGTTTTCATGACCTGAGGTCTAATTTGCCGTCCAAAAACTTCTCAAGACAGCAGCATAGAAGTAGGAGCGGAGGATCAGCTCTGAGTGGCTCATCTACTGGCGAACTGTCTCGAAAAGAGAAAAGAAAAGGAATAAAGCACCGAAGGCGTCGGCGTGGCACTGGAAGTAGTGGTTCTTCTGACTCTGGCGTGGAAGAATATTTTTCAGATTATTCTGGAGTTATCAACAATAAATATAAGAGGCCGGATTCAGAATTGGAAAATATGGCTACACAGGTAACCCTAGTCAATGTGAAACATGGTATGAGCCAGAGGAAGTTCTGGCAATGGTCTCGAACAAATCTTCAAGATGAACTAGGGTATATACCATAAATGAACAGAATAAATGTTGGGTGACTGAAAGTGTCTGTAAAGTGAAACACTGGGAAATGTACCAGTGTGTGAGTATAAAATAGTTAAAATTTCTCGGAAAGAAGTGTTTGTTATGTTAAACACAAAGCCTTCGAGAAAGAAAATACAGCCAAGAATATTTATTACTAATAAAAACACGTCACAGGTTGTTGTTTTTTTCTTGGAGTTAGGACGTTATTAAAAACTATTTGTGAATATGAAGATGTGTAAACTAGTAATTTTCTATGCGCATGTGAGAAAAACTAGGATTCGGTAGTCTTTTAATCTGTTATTCTAAATTATTGCTCTCAAAGTCAGAAGTGATTCGTGATGATCCTTACGAAACTTTTCTGGGGCACACATTAGTGTTAATTAAGGCCTTTAAATGCTATGTAATGCACTATTTCTTAGTATATAAAAACCCTACTTAACGCCATTCAACTTACATGATTTTGATTTTACATCTTATGCACAGAGATTAAAAATCATCCTAGTTAATTATATATACCGTGCTCTTTTTTTGAACTGTTTCATGTGTTGTTGTTTTTTGTAATAAAATCCTATTCAACACATTGCTAGAATCATATTCTCAGTTTTCTTTAATTCATATTTCCATAAATCGATTTTTTTTCTCGCGATAGTCAAGAAATGTATCATTTTTTTCAACATTTTTATAGTTTCTTGTTTTTAGTTTTAATACATTAGCCTAAGAGAACGAATCACTAATTAACTACGAAGTTGTTTTTTTTTTCAAATAAAGATCTAAAAACCAAGCGCAGTTCTTATTGAATTAAATATATATTATTAAATTTCCTTATTTTATCGTAGGTAATTGTACTTGTTAGTTTAACAAAACAAATTGTTTTTGCATAACTACTCGTTGACAAAACGAAAAATAGAACAATAAGTTGCTTAAAATTACCAGTATTACAACAATTAACTAGATTTAAATACCAGTATTACAACAATTAACTAGATTTAAATACCAGTATTACAACAATTAACTAGATTTAAATACCAGTATTACAACAATTAAATAGATTGAAATACCAGTATTACAACAATTAACTAGATTTAAATACCAGTATTACATCAATTAACTAGATTTAACAAATTACTACAAAGAGGATATATAAATATATAAATTGGAACTCTTATTCTTAATGTTAACCCAAACTATTGATATGCATTTATATAAGTATTTATAAAAATACATTGTATAACTTAATACTTTACTTTTTATTAAGTAACACCTAACTGAGAAGATTAATATTTTCATACAGAAAATATATTTTACACCCTCATCTCCTTACGTTATGTACTCGCATACAGGATTTTGATGACATATCTTAATGGTAACGTTCAAGAAGAACCCTTTCCTTACCTCCACTCCCGAGCGATCCCTAAAAAATAAAGCAAAGGTTGTTTTTACTTTTTATCTCTTTCTATTGATCTGTATTTGTTTTGTGTGAATATTTGTGTACCTATATAAACCATGTGAAAAACAGACAATGTATTTAATCTATATCCCGCTTCATTATCTCCGACGATTCAGAGTATAATCTAGGTAACCTCAAACCTTTAATAACTGTAAAGGAAGATTTTATGGGTTCCGAAAACGTGAACTCTACTTTTAGAAAGAATGAAAAGGAAGACTTAATGGTCTTATGTACATTAAAAGTGTCAATACCATAAAATGACATCTAACTTTCAGTTAATTTCTCCGAAAGGGGACCGAGGGTGGCCTGGAGGGGGTCATCTGTTTTAACCACTTGCGCTACTATACACTGGTATGTTGTCTGTCAGTCAGTTAGTAGACACTAAAATAACGTCACATATGGAATGCTAAACGTTGCAGTTTGTACTGTCGTGACGTCAGTAAAACTAGCGCATGCCACGAATCGCGAAAAGCAAGAAATAAAAATATTTGTAACTCTTGAAACAGAACACTTTCGGGAACCCTGCGGAAGTACATCTAGTATATATTTAGTGTGTTAAACAACATTTCAATAACACCTAGTACGCACTGACATAATAGGGACAACTAAACTATAGAGGACACGAGTATAAAATATGAGATGAAAAGTGTATGATTTTCTGTCAATTTAAATAATTCATTTATAGAACCCGTATCGAGGCCTGTTAATGTCCCAATGGATGTGACACTACTGTATGTAAACTACAGACGAAAATCAAGCTTTTATAACAGCATGTACCTGAAAATGTGCAAAATTAATAATTTGTTTAACACGAAAAATTTGGTTTTAGTTTCGTAATTGTGCATGCATAAGTATCGGCCTTCGCGTCATTTTCAAAAACAAAAAGATATATTAAAATGCAAATTCTTAGTGATGTGTAACGAGGTGCTGTGGGACTACCCTGTGACAAGGTCATTAATGTGATTCAAGATCATGTCCTACGGAGATTTTATTAATGTGCATCTTAGACCTAAAATGTCAATGGTAAAGGTGTAGCCAATAACAAGTAAAACATTTTAAATTAAAGTCGGTCTTCAGGAATAACAGTTATAGTTACAAGTGCATCACTTCCCTACATATGGACTTGTACCACAACAACTCGGAGTCCATTATTACACAAACCAAAGTTTGAAGTGTAAGGTAAAAAATAAGCAAAACATTGCATCTTTGAAAAGTCCAAAAGGTTTAAGAGTAATGATATAACACCCACTTCCAGAAGTTGACCATGAATGACCTCAATGATAATGTCACAGGTAAGCCCACAACAATTCTTTTCACATACCTTTCATTTCTGAAATTATTTCCCTGTAACCGGACTTTTGAATCATATAGTATAAGAATGACTAACACAGTGTGTTCAGGGTCGGATACAAATCATATAGTATAAGAATGACTAACACAGTGTGTTCAGGGTCGGATACAAATCATATAATATAAGGATGACTAACACAGTGTGTTCAGTGTTGGATACAAATCATATAGTAGAAGGAATGACTAAC